CGGGTAGAGGAAAGATGAGAAATAGGAAAGGAGTCTCCCAGTGTGAGATTAGACCGATTAGACTGTAGAGCCTGAGATGTAACATTGACAAGAGCACTGTTGTCGTCATCAGCGTATGCGAGAATCCACCGTCGGGTTCTATTTATTTTTATGGATAAAAATTCAAGTCACTTTATAAAAACACTAACCAAAATCAGTTCGGTTGTACAGGGTTTAAAAAACGGTCTCTAATGATCCGGGCTGCATCAGGAAGTGATCAGCGTATGCGAGAATCCACCGTCGGGTTCTATTTATTTTTATGGATAAAAATTCAAGTCACTTTATAAAAACACTAACCAAAATCAGTTCGGTTGTACAGGGTTTAAAAAACGGTCTCTAATGATCCGGGCTGCAAAAAATCAGGAAGTGAGCCAAATGAATTACACATCTGCGAATGGTCTCTCTGCACTATATGTCGACACTGTGAAAAGTTTGTTGTGCCGTTTCAAGGTAGTAGGAGGAAGTTATCTGAATCGATGAATGAACTGTGGATACTATGAAAAAATAAATGCAGTGCTTTCGAATGAATGAAATTTCTACAGTGGTAGTAATCTGGAAGACCTGATGTGCGACAACGGATCAAGCGATATTGCTGGGGTCAACTGGAGAAAATCTATCGCCAGTGGAAGATTGAACCGTGGGATCACAGGGCGGGCTAGCACTTGCAGTAGGACGTGTCCAATGCGATTCCGGATCGAAAGGAGAGTGAACAATGACCTGAACGATAAAATCATCCGGAATGTGACAATCGTTCAGACGGGCACGATTGGGTAACATATGACCACACACAAACCAGCGTTGCCTTCGTTCTGGCCACTGTGTTTGGCTTGCTAGCAGCTTCTTGGCTTCCATGATAGTAATTTGCCCGCTGGGAAGGGCCAGTGTAATATCTTCGCCAGTGGACAAGCGTATGCGAAGTGTTCTGGATGGGACTTTGCCATTTTCAGACTCCGCATTTTCACTTGAAAACTCTTTCGTGGGCGAACTTCGCCCAAGGTTGGTCCATAATAGTGGAGTTAGGCGATGTGCCCGTTCAGCCGAACGAACACCTCGTCTTCTGACGTGACAGCAGCCTGGGAATGGCCAGCAGCCTATTCTAACAGAATCTGTTGATTCGTTCCTATCGTTGGTAGTAGTACAGGTAGGTTGGGCAGTCGTGAACGCTCGGACGCAGGGTTGTGAGGCGGAATCACCGGCTGTGGTCGGATTCGCTGCATTGCCGGGGTTCTGCAATGAAGACGAGTTTGGATTTGAGGCTTCACGGGGTGCGTCGGAATCAGGACCAGTTGTAGCAGATTCTTGTATCAAATTACTCGGCTCGCTAAGCACATACAGAGGCAGTTGATAACGCGTCCCAAGGCGGTCGTAACAATCGCAGAGGGTACCTGAAGGGAAGTAAAACGTTGGCGGTTAGTTACAGTACGTATGTTGCAAAGCCTTATGGGGCGTTCAAAATGGCGAAAACATAAAGGAATTCACATTTACTTGCAAACTGACAGTACTTCATCAACTCCCCAAGGCATGGGTCAACCAGTGCCATGAAGAAGACACTGCGAAAAGGCCACATACCGTCTGCTGCTCACATAGCAAGAAGATGAACTGAACTGGTTCACCGTAATATTGCATGAGTGCATCATCTGTAACGCTGCGTTTACACAAATTTCATGCACTTGGAAAGTCATCATCATCATTGTCAGCTGTAATAACCGCGTACTCGTGCTAAATCCAGCTCCCAAGGCGGTCGTAACAATCGCAGAGGGTACCTGAAGGGAAGTAAAACGTTGGCGGTTAGTTACAGTACGTATGTTGCAAAGCCTTATGGGGCGTTCAAAATGGCGAAAACATAAAGGAATTCACATTTACTTGCAAACTGACAGTACTTCATCAACTCCCCAAGGCATGGGTCAACCAGTGCCATGAAGAAGACACTGCGAAAAGGCCACATACCGTCTGCTGCTCACATAGCAAGAAGATGAACTGAACTGGTTCACCGTAATATTGCATGAGTGCATCATCTGTAACGCTGCGTTTACACAAATTTCATGCACTTGGAAAGTCATCATCATCATTGTCAGCTGTAATAACCGCGTACTCGTGCATAAATCCAGCAGTGTCAGTGGGCTGTCAAGTGGGGGGTTGGAAAAGGAGCTATACATTGAAGGCAATAGCTTGGATGCACGAGCGCCATTGAGGGCGCGACTGGGCCATGTCTGACAATGTCTCCAGCTTTTGATGTGGCCCGTCTCGGGGTCCCTATCCAGAGAGACGGCAGTGGCCAGCGCAGCTGAGTTTGCTGGTAATGGATTTCACACATTGCTGCCAAGTCATTGTTTGACTGCCTTTTTGGAAAGTACCAGATAAACTTTGTTTTATACCGGAAGGCTGTGACAAGAGCTTATACCTAACAAAAGATTGTCAAATCTGATCATCGTACTAGATCATATCGCACACCGAAGTGCATTTGAACGCCACAAAAGACTGACGTCCAGTTTAACCGTAATCGGCGCGGTGTGGACAATGAGGGAAGCCGGTATAATCAGATGCGAATAGAGATGCGAACTTTCTGTGTATCTAAAACTATGAAAACGGACAGTTCTTTCATGACTACACAGACCTAAGGGAACAGTGATTACGAAGAATCTTACAGCCGAGTAACTAGGAAAAGTAACGTTCGGGGCGACGTACTAGTACGAGCAATCAAGGATCATCGGCTCAGTCAGGCGGTGGAACTAGATTTTAGATATACTATCTCTGTTTGTACCATTGTACAGGATCAATGGATACAGCCGTCATGTTCAATAAACTAGGTAGCTGAATTTCATTTTTAACCATATTGGCCATGGTATGGGCTTAATGGAAAAGTCTGGGTGAATGATGAATAAAGTGATATGCAGAATCTGGATGATCAAGTAAGGTGCATAATTGTATGCCTGAGGAAGGCAATTTAGAAGTACATGCGGTATGACATGAAGAGGCTGTCAAGAAGATATCGAGTGAAGCATGAGACTGTATCGCTTCGAATCTCTCTGTATAAACGTTCAACTCACCTTGATGTACGTGCACATAGCTAGGCGGAATGCATTCGCCTCCGTTTCTGCTTTAAATTGAGGAAGCCCATTAGAAGCAAGAATGGAGAATCGCGATATCGCAGTCCGAAATCAGTCGCGTTGTGGAGAGGATAAGATATTACTTTAGGTACGTGCAGCTTTTTTCAACTTCCAGATGAACCAAAGGCCTAAAAACCAGGATGTACAGACCCTAATAATCCACGAGTGAACTTGTTGTCTCTGCCTCTTACAGCGTTGTCTAATATACCATCCTATCGACCGAAACCGTCGAAAGGTGTTGATCAGTTTACAAGTTGGTGCTAATGTCACATAGTTGTACGCGCAACCAACATAAGAGTCTCTGAGATGTGCTAAGCTTTTCGTTACTTTTTACCTACGAATCTCGATTATCGTCATCTAACTGCTAACTAGTTCGAAACAATGGACTGGTACAGCGCATGTGTGATGAAAGATAAACAAACTGGTCCATAGAATTCACTTATGATCACAATAATGTACGCAGTGATCAGGCGTTTTGGAGAGATAGGTAGTTTTATCCTATGACGTACTACCTAGCTACGTGCTTTGCAGAGGTAACACAGTTACCAAGATGAAAGACTACGTGAACTTAAAAGTTTTCACTTGAAATAGCAGAAGCCTATCAGGTTAACTCGGGAGTGGTTCAAATCCGCATTGGTCACAAAAGTGTCTTTTAACATCGAAAAAGAGATGTATCACCGTCATCATCATCATTATCAAAAGAGACAACGAAATCAGTGTTGACACTGATGCTTCACTACCGTATCACCACAAAGCTCATCTAATTATATTTAAAGGCTTAGAATGAAAAGAAGAGAAAAAGAGTGGGTGACGAAGAGGACTTGATGTTGGCCTATCGCAAGCATTCTGAGATGCTCAGTTCTGAGTGCTCAATCACCCTGGAAAGAAAACGATAGCACGAACGCCACTGACATCAACCAGCCACCGTTCCTTGCAATGCTTTCAGCCAATCGCAGATGGGGTCACGAAGACCCCGTCTTGGAATGCCTACAATATCAACAACACCCAAACCAAACATGATCTCTTTCACGCCCTTCTGCTAAGTAATACGTTGTCCACCTTGCGGTTTCAGCCACTCTGAAGGGGGCATAGAGAACAAAACTCGTCTCGGTAGACAGTGTTTCGGCATTCGTACCACATGGCCGAGGCACCACAGTTGATGGTGCTGGATGCTTAACGCAATTGAGGTACGTGCTGCACAACGAGATACCCGTTTTCTAATCACCTGGTTACCAATCCGCTGACGCCATCCAAAGCCAGCAGTGCTTCTGAGGCACCGGTGGTCAGAAACCCGAAGACGCCTCACATCATCTGTCAGCATAGGCCACGTTTCACATTCATTCAGCAACACATCCTTTACTGTAGCCTGACACAAGCGACCCCTAAGACCGAATGAGAGGTCTTTTTGACGCCACAAGTGACAAAAACTAGCAAACGCAATTCGAGCCTTTGAAATTCTTGCACTGACTTCATTAGACACACTTCCGTCAGAACTAATACAACTACAAGGTATGTAAAATTTTCCACAACTCTCCTTGAAGGGGTATGTTCAGATTGTATGTTGTGAGCAGAACTTGGCACTTTGAAGTTACAAGGCACATGCCGAAAGATGGTATGAGAGTGGTTAGTCTATTCAGCAACGTTGGTGTTCCACGTTGGTTTTCAAAAATGACGGCGACGTCATCTACGTACTTAGACAAGGGAAGGTTCTCACCAGCAACAATTTGAACACCGGGGTTTTGAAGACCCTTCAGCACCCGCCTCATTATTTCATCAATGACGAAATTGAACAACAAAGGAAAGAGTGGACATCCTTACCGGATACCACTTTTTGTGGGGAGGCTTTTGGAGAGCTCAACATACCCTCTCACACGCCAAGGTATGTGATAATAGGGATCGGATTATGTTCACAAACTTCTGGGGCATATCCTGAGGAGCAAGTACAGTTAACAACACTCTTGAGGTCAAGGAGCACCACGATTGTGGGTCATCTGTACATATGGGATGTGAAGATGTGACCAGTCGAAATCCCGCTTGATTCTCACGAGTCAAGGTTTCGCGTGACACCGTAAGATGACGAAGAATGAACGATGTCAGAAGCTTTCTTACAGCGGGAGGCAGACTAACACCTCTGTTGTTATACTTGGTATGGAATTGTCGTTTGCTTGGTTGATTGCGCGCCTATTAAATGTCAGATTGACCGAGAGACCGATAAGACAGGTTAGCATCCACTTCAGGATTTATGCCATGTCGGATAAGTAGCGCCGAAAACCGGCCACGTGGATCTATGCCACAAGGTCGAGGACGTTAGATCCGAAGATGCAGGAAAGCGGCAGTCCTAACGCAAATCTAGAAAAGAACGACTGAACAAGCAAAACTCGGCCGCACTACCGCGACAGTTTTCATTACGCTCATCGTTATATCGTTGTTCATTTGAAACACCTCATCCACCACCTAAACCAGCTTCCTTTTGTTCTATCCCTTATTAGCAGCTACATTATGGGTGCCACATATGCTTGATCTGTGGTAATCTGTCCACGCGCCTCAACTCCATCATGCCCTACTACGGCCTTGCTATTAACTACCACTCAGAAGGCTCATTACTATAAGGGGTCGCACACATAGGTAATGGAGGCGACAGTGGTGTGTGCGGCCTCATCAAAATAAGATTATACGATCAAAGTAAGTTGTAGCGCAAGGCTATGCTGAAATAATGTGCTGGAGCTGGCTCAGTTATTAAGGCACTGACTTAGTGACCGGAATGTCTGTGGTTCGAACCTAATTACAGCATCCCGACTGCCCCTAGCTAGGCTTGGCAGCCTGGCAGCGTTTCCGCTCTTATTTCTTTCGGGTGGTATGAGATCTATGCACCGTGAGGGTATCATAGCTGAACGATTAGATTGGTAATTAGTTAGTTATGCTGTGGTTCGGGAGGGTATCAAACCATGGAAGCCTCACGTGGTCGGCCCTAACAAGACCTCGAATGGAGTTGACAATGCGCGAGTAAATGGAAGGACTCTGTGGAAATTGAAAAGAGGGTTAAGGAAGAAAACTTTTCGCCTGTATTTATACTTCATATTAATGTTTTTATCTCCAACGGAGGATCTCCTGTTCTTATGAATCAGATTGTTCTGTAATTAATGGAAAAAAGCGGTAGTGAGACGACGCACACCATTTTCTCCAGTCAATAAAGAATCCTTCAGAACACATCCATCAGCTTCGTGGATTAGCAAGGAAAAGCAAACTACATGTATCCTAAGACAGGAAAACTTAGAGTTGGTAAACAGGTCAGAAATATTTGCAGTGTTTTGGAGACCGTGCCGTGGACGACAGCTGAATTAGACGTGTAAGTTATTGTCCATCGTTAATCCGCAACCCCTTTTGTCGTCATCGACACGAATGTGAGAACACTGGTGTTTACGTGTAATACCGCTATGTACATTTCTTAGATAAAGTCCCATATAGGAATCGTTCAGCCGTAGCACCCTTTCGGTGCCTAGCTACCATGCCACCCGAAGGAAGCACGAGGGCCTAGACAGGGGAAGCCGATAGACAGAGGTCGGGTCTTACTTAAAGAGCAGCCCATGTCAGGACCTACCAGGTTTCGGACTGCTAGATGCAAGCAACTGAATTATCGACCAGACCGCTTGGGAGTTAAACAAATTCTGTAGATGACCGTGGATCACACCAGGGTTTCAGAAATAACCCATGTTCGTTCCAAACAGTATTTACGTAGTCAGTTGTTTGTCGAGATAGTTTTGATGTCGCTCAATTTGATTACTTTGAATAAAAGTTGGTGTTCGACGATGGAAAGGAGGCAGGCTTCCTTGCTGGTCATCTCCGAACCTGGCTAACGGAGGAACACAGTATTACTACCTGCGCAACAAACCCTATTGATAATGTTGATAAAGTTGGAAGGGGAGACTCGCCTGTAGGTAAAATGATGTCAGCACCGTCCAAAATAGCTTGTGCCATCTCGTAGTCATTCCGCTCAAGGAAGTCTGCAGCAGCCTTCAAAGCGTTCCATATCTCGATGCGTCCTTCAAAAGCCGGTGCAGTATCCCAGAACTCCTCTCGCTTTCGTTGCAGCTGGCCCGCAGTCAAGGGAAATTGACTGGACCATTGGATGGACACATGCTTGAGCGGTTTGTTCTTGGTCATAGACACTAAAAATAGAATGTAGAATAACAACGAAGCAGTGGTATGACGAGTTGGTAAAGCGAAAGTTAAATTGATCACAATTTGAAACATCATCATGAAGAACAGCAACATGAGTGTTGACATTGAATCTTCGCTGCCGTAATTTGAAACATCAAACGGTTCTAGATAGCTGGGGATAAATGGTTAGAGCGCGAATTTACTGACCGGAAAGTCCGTGGTTCGAACCCGACCTCAACCTATCGACTTCCCTTGTCTGGGCTTGGGCAACCTAAGAGTATCCCAGCCTTCATGCTTCCTTCTGGTGACGTGGCACTTAGGCGCCGAGAGGGTGCTACAGCTGGACAATTCGATTTCAAGATAGCTGAGAGCTAAAGATGGGAGAAAATATTGTTGTTGTCCAAATCAATTCAAGACATCACGGCATTGAAGCACCGATGTTTGATACCGAGGCCGTTATCGATGATAATAACTACATTCGTCAACTTGTGTAAGACTTTAGGCAACTTGCTTCAGAACAATACAAACAGTATTTTAGAAACAACAGAGGAATATTTGATTTGCTCAATGGTAGAAGCTTTCCGAGGAAAAAATGCGACATAAAAAGTGGGGTTATTCTGAAACCCAGCCATGTATAAAATCCCTACCAGTTATTTCTATAAGGTATCAGTCTGTTTTGTATGGGATAAAGTTGCTACGGCCTTGGCAGGCGGGTAGTCAAACGGGATTCTTTGGAAGAAGCTGAAACAAGTCTCAAACACTTTCTGACTTCAGTTGCGAAACAACACTAATTTATGTGTGTGGAAAACATTTAATTTGCAAACTATTATTCCATGGAACAGATCATAACAGTGTTTCCTATCGCTGGCTGTGTAAAAAATAAAACTCACTGCGAGGCATGAGGTTCCAAGCAGTCCTGGTAATGACGCTTTGCAGAGGGGGGCCGTGCTAACCAATGCGTCACGCGACTAATCCTCTAAGTCCGCTTGGCGGGCAACACTACAATTAAAGCACATCAAGGACTGAGTGTAAAAAGAAGACTACGGCTTTCGCAGTATATCTCTGAAGTGGCTTGGATAGAGGTGTAGTTTTCCAGTTCCTCATTGTGCTGACGATACACAAACCTAGTCCTTACCGTTGCCGCACTGAAATTCACAATCGAAAAGCATATACTAACCAAGATTGAATTGCTGTCTTCCCTGCGGTCTGATCTCCCCTGGAACCGCTTGATTCAAACACGTAAAAACAAATTCACGCTCAGTGAAGCGTTTGTCGGAAAGATCCCTCCAGAACTCTGTAAACATTTTACGTGTATGGAGCGTTATTCTCCCGTAGAAACGTATTGGGCAGGAGTCGTTGGTATTAAGGGCGGATCTGGCTGACCTACAGTCAGGAGATCTGTTTAAGTGTTGTGTGAAGCACAAGAACGTGATGTTTAATTAGTAATGTGGGGCTCGGAATTCGGTAGTATATGAAGCTGGGCCAGCAACATAAACAGTAAATCTAGGGTTATTGCAAAGTTTGCGATTAGGTGGTGGCCATTGCTTACTTTATGGCAACTAGGTCCAGCCAGAGAAAGCGCAAGTACATATGAGAAAGTGAAAAGTCCCTTTTCATCGCCAGCGGCTCCAAGAATATTGCTCTTTTGGAGGTGTGTCTAACAACCTCACTACGCTTCATCGGTCCGTACACGTAACATTCGTGACTGTGTAGAAGACTAGTCTGGGTTCAGTTACAAAACTGACACTTGTCAACAGAGCTTTGAATCTCAACTGGCACACTTTTAAACTGAACCTGTTCTCTGGAATCCATTCTATGTTACAGAATTACGAGCTAATTGACCGTTACTGTGATTGCCTTTCATCAACGGTAGCGTCTAAGTGATGGAAGCACAGAGTTAGAAATGCCGGGATGCGGCTAACATTTTTCGACAGAAAATAAACTTCGCACCCAGTTGCCTATTTCGTACCGGTGAAAAGCTTGAACGATGTGATCAAGAATTCCGTATGCCCTATGATCAACTACTCCACTACGATATTCGGATAGGTCCGCATAAAACGTTCCTATGTGGCGCGTGGTTAGAGAACTGAACTGAGTAGGAAAGTGGTGAAGAATTGGGTTGTGAGTTACCGATTAGTGGAAGCTCCAGCAACCGGGAAACACAGTTCACCAAGGTTTGGAGTAATGTGCTCAACGAGGCGATCCCTGGATCACCCCTCAGATGACAACTATAATTTCAGACCTCGTAACAAAAAATGAGTTATTATACAAGCTGCAAGACGTCCATCGAAACAATTCAGTATCTGGGCATTAGAACAAAAGCGCACCCCACGAAGGCACCTTCAATTTTGATTGAAGGAAGGCACAGTAATGAATATCCATCTGCCCACAGCATACGGTTTTGACGTTTCAAGACCTTGGTAATGTGAGTTATTCTTTTGATATCGTAGTCAACAGAAAAGCATTACAGAAATTTCATTCCCAAAGACACTGTGGACGGTAGGCCAACACTGAAATGTATCCACATTAATCGGAGATTCAGCCGCAGTCGCCCCGTTTCCTGCTTGGCTGACTTAAGGTTTCACCATGTAAGCCATTGAGACAATAAACATTAATACTTTGAGAACACTGAGGTGCATTCGCTGACAACTCGGTGATCAGTGAACATATTAAACCCTGAAGGACTTCGTCCCACAATGGAATGACTGAGATTTTATCCTCACAATATGTTTAGGTCCAAGAAACATGCATAAACCCAGGGGCAAATTTTCGACAGACCAGACGGCTGGGCAGGGCGCTACCAAGGGGCAGTAGCGCACATAGGACAAGGGGCTCCAGTGTGTCTGAAAGATACATTGACTAAGAATGCATTCCTTAGTTTCTGGCTAGGCCAGCAGAATCAAAGGGAGGCAGCTAACTGCATACTTCGCAGTGTGCTAATCGTACTATGGGATCGCTTGTAAGAAAAGTTATAATGTCCACCGCAATGCGAGTTTAAGAGCAACGAACTATTTCCTTGAAGAGACCAATATTGCAGCATAGATGTAGGATCAGTAATGCCCCCATCCATTAATAATTATAGACAGTAATGCATCGATGATGGAAACCGACCTAAAGCTGCCACCTTGACGTGATGGTCGGGCTTGAGTGCTGCAATGATCCCGCGGGCTACACTGGCTGGAACTTCGTTCCACAAGGTACAACCATGCCAGGAAGGCCAAAGGGGAGCAGCCAGACCAAGAGCTGCGAGACCCCGCACTACGAGCAATCGTGGGACGGGGCGGTCTGGGGGTAAAGTCGTACTGTCCTCTGCGACAGGAGTGTGAAGGCAGTAAGGTGTTTACCCCAGGCGACCAGCATGTCCATATTTATGGAAGCAGCGATGCTGCCTTCCCCCGAGGAAGGACGGGTTAGAAAAGGTTGCCCCCAAAAACCGCACACTCCGATCGCCCAACGGTTGACTGTGACCGCCGGCGCATTATCCAATATGGTCGAAATACTTTTAAAACCAAAGAGCCCGGTGCTGCTCAAAAGGCACCTGCCGTGCGCGGCCGCATCAGGAATGAGACAGTAATGCCTTATTCCCTGCGCCCTTGGGTTAGGCCAACCCCCTGCAGCCGAGCAGGTCAGACTATTGAGTCATCGGTCCCGGGCAGGGTCTCCAAAGAAAACCCTACATTCTCCCACTGCCTCGTGGGTCAGACTTTTGAGTC